CGGGGCGAGCGGGCGGCCTGCGGCGGCGGCGGCGGGTCCGAGGGGGCCCTAAGGCAGCCGGCTCCCAGCCCCAGCCTCACCTGGGCGCGCCGTCGGCCCCCCGGAGCCTCCTGCAGCCCAGGATCGTCGGAGTTGGGGAGCGAACTTCCCACGTTTGCTATGTTGCCCTTTGGAGACAAAACGAGGTACTTTATTCAGGACTACCCGCCTCACTTTCCCCGGGGTGCAGGGGACCCAAAACTGGGTGGTGGCTCCCAGTTCACACTGGCAGGAAGACACCTCGCTAACGATAGACTGACTTTCTGTCGTTCTTTACTGTCCTGCAGATGCATTTGTTGGGATTTTAGATTGGGCCCGTTTAATCTGATTTTTCTAATGAGCTGGTGTGGATTCAATTCCTTTGAGATGTTTAGTTTTTGTTTTTGATAGCCCAGGCCCTGGGACAAGTTTTATACTTTTTTGTTTAAAGACCCAGACCTGCTTTGAAAATCTCTTTTCCTAAAAATCTCTTCCTCAAAATCCTAAATCTGGAGATGTCAAAGGATGACGCCGAAAGGAAAGCCGTGTCTTTTTAAATGTCACTTTTCTGGGAGTTTGCAGTGAACTACTAGGGCCCTCTGGTCCTAGCAGTTTTGATCACTGCTGGAAGTCAACACTTGTCTGGGTCACCTGTTACTCCACGCCACAGGTCCCCCTGGTAGGGGAGCTTTCACTTATTCTCTCACCTCTGCCCACATTGAATTAGAACTCAGGGGAAGGGGAAGGCGGGAGAATTGGACTGATTCTCCCTTGTGTGGAAGAGGTTGTCGCCTAGGTAGATTATTAACAGGTAAAGGAGTAAAGTCAGTTGTTCTAGTCGACCAAAATGTCCCTTTCTTTGTTTTCCCTCTTTAAAGCTGTAAATTTGAGATGGCTTGGTGACAGTTTTTTAAACTGCTATAGATAAAAACACTTCACTATTGACCCTGCACAAACTTTTGAAGTGTACCAGCATATTATTGGAAAGTAAACTGAAAGGTAGTTATGTGCGTTTCCCCATTGGTTTCTCCTAACTAGCACAGGATTAAAATCTCAGCTCTTAAAATTATAGTACTCACTGTAAAAGTTAGATCATATGAAAGCCCAAAAGATGTTTTAGTGTTTTTATAATAGAGTTCATGTTGGCTGTGGGTTGAACACTTTGTGCCTGTGTGTGCGTGTGTATGTGTGTGTGTGTGTGTGTGTAAAGTCAACAGATGATGTGAAGTATAAGTTGGAAAATGACAGCGTAAAGTATATAAAGGTAATGCAGGCCCTCAGTTTTAAGAGTTATAAAACGCTCAGAACTGTCAGTGTAAAGAATATAGTCTAAGAACTTTTGTACAGCCAGAGGGTTTTTTCAAGTAGAACCCCAGTTTGGCTTTATAGTTAGTGACATGAATTGGAGACTTTTAAAATAAGAAGTTGACATCAGTTGATTGTAAAAATGCCAAACTATTAAGCCCAGTGTGGTTCATATTATCCTGATAAAAATTTATTGCATACCTTTTTACTTTACAACTGAGGGTTTTTTTTTAAGAAAATAGAAGTTCAACATCACTTTGTTATGTTTTTCTAAGTGTAAAATGAATACTACATGTGATTAAGGAAATCTGTGAAACAATGTAGGTTCATTCAGTTTTACCATCTATACCAGCAGTCAGACTGCTGATGGAATATTTCCACATCCTTTAACTGTTGTCCTTTGACATTTACATGTTCCTCTCTATCCTATCCCCAGACCAAATGGTCCACTTTTAATGGTACTCTCTGAAGGAAATAAAGGTTCTGGCATTCCTAAATTCTCAAACATCTGTAAATTTCAGTGGAACTTGAAAACACCTCTGTAATTATAGTATACTGTTTCCTATATTTATCTTCAAATACATCCTAAGCACCTCATTATCGGTGCTTTTTAGTAATCATGACTTGTTTGTGTGAATTTGAGGGTATCAATTGAACAATTCAAACATAAATTGTTGGCATAGAAGTTAACATGAATCTAGTAAATTACACGAGAGGAGGCACCTCTCACCCTGACAGTTGGAGATGACTTGCAGGCCTGAGAGGCTGTGTTAATTGGGGGCTATAACATGCATGCATTTCCACAGGAAGGCTTTCTAGTGCTAATGCTACTTAGCAGCTGTTGATAGTCTTGACAGCATATTAGAATAATGTTACCTTTCATTAGTTACTAATCAGCACTGTGATTGTGACTGAAGTTTTAGGTCATTTAGTATTGAAGAGGCGACTTGTTTGACTTTTTATTGCTTTGTTTTGTACCATGCAAAAGCTTGAGAATTCTTGGCATATAATGGAAATAGGAGATACTAAATGAGGGCAAGTTTTATGACAGGTTGGCTCAAAGTCCGTAACAGAAGTTTTACACACTCCCATGTAGCTTTCCCTGTATACTTTTTCTTTGGCACTGCAGAGCTATGCTGAATGAGTTGTTTCCAGTTCTGTGTTTGCAATTCTTTCTTTTTCCTTTGTCATTCTTTCCTATTTTCTGAAAGCTGTAGCATTTGTTTTTGGAAGGTATTTACATTAAATTTAGATGATGGATTACAGTAAATATTGTGCTCTGTTCTTAAAACTATGAATTCAAGAATTATGTGGAAATATAAACTTTTTCACAATGTTCAAAGAAATGATTTGTTAAACATACTTTGTTAGGCAGTAGCTAATATTAAAGATAATAGGACTGTGACTTTGATGGCCCAGTTGACTTTGATGTTATTTATATTATTTTATGATGGTAGTATTGGGTCAATTATGGCCTTTTTCCTTGTATTGTTTAGAACTGGGCTCCTTGTAGTCAGCCCTAAGATGTCCTTTAGTGTCCTTGAAGAATGTTTGTGGGTTGAATTCTTCCTGCCTGGAGGATTCCATAGAAGCCCTTAACTGTTGATTCCTGTTGTCCTTCTAATTCTAGTGTTTTCAAAGTTCCAAACCCAGACTCAAATTAGGGCCTGAGTTCCATGATCCTGATTCCTGATACTCTGGTGGACTGAATAAATAGCAATTACTGAAATGGACATCTTGAAATAAATTGGTTTGCTTAGTGTAACACAAACAACTGAGCATATTGTAAAATCGAATATTTTTTCAGTTTGTGATCTGAAGACCTACTTGCCTAGATTTTCAGGAGGTCATGTCCATGGCCCTTCAAGACAAGGCAGTATTTGAGCATCTTGATGATGCTAAGCAACAATTATGCCTTGATAGATTATTGGATTTTCATCTCTAATAATATTTTTCTTAGAATATTTGAAACATTTTCCTAATTGTATAAAGCTTGTACCTTCACCCTTTAGCTATTTGTGGAGAACATATCTTTCTAAGATGCACTTATTTCTCTAAATTTGAAGTACATATTAAGAGCTGGGGAGATAGCTCAGCATTCTAAGTGCCTGCCTGGGAAGCACAAGGACCCAGGTTCGATCCCCTGTACTGCATGCCAGCCCCGTGCTGTTTTGGGCACTGAAACTGGGTGTGGTGGCACACATCTATAATCCCAGCACTGGGGAAGCTGAGACAGGAAGATCACGATGAGTCCCAGCTACATAGCGAGAGGCTGTACCAAATTAATTAATTAATGATAAAGAAAATACATATTAGTTTAGAGCTTTGCTCCAACTGCCGAGTACTTTTTAATCCTGCACAGAAATGATTTCTTTTAAAATTGAAACAGCTAAACAGAACTGTGTGGTATTTATCAGTTTATATCCCAAACATTTCAGCTTAATTTATTAAACCTGTAACTGGCATTAGATCTGTATCTATATCTATCAATATCATCTATATCTATATATTATTGCTGTTCTGTGATGGTGGGAAAAGAGCCTCTTTCTAGGGTGAAAAGCCCTTAATCAGGACTGAAGGACAATTAAATAAAATCAGTCACTTGACTGATAGTGCAGGTAGAAAAATGACTACTTTTTGAATATAGGATACAGACCAGCTCCTGACTTCGCAGGGCTTCCTGCGCACTTAGATTAGCTACATGGATGAGGATTCTGGTGCTGTAGCTGATGGACGTGCTTGAACGTTTCTGTCCAACCAGGTTCTCAGGAAAACATGCTGAGTGCCCATGAGCTACAAACCCAGGAATAAAAACTGAAGAAAATCTTTCCACATGAGTCATTCATTTGCTAGTAAACTCTGTAGCCTTATTTACGTACTTCTTGATATTCTCATCTTGAATTATATATGTATTTTACAGTGTAAGTGTTTTATTTATTTTCTCTGAGTGGAAGAAATTTCTATTTATTGCAGCCCAATGTTCAAGGCAGGTAAAAATAAAAGAGTGAGTCTTAAATTCCTAAGAAGCATTTTGATA